TAAAAATAAAATCACACAATCAGAGGAATGCCAAAGGCTTACACCAATTACGAATGAATCAGATGTAATTGAAATTCTTTCCGTAAGTTGATGTTTGTATTTTATCCATTAGTTTTGACATAACAGTAGACTTTTACAACATAACGAATATCAGTTATGAAATCAAAGATCGTTGAAATTCGTGCTATCATATCGCGTTTTAGTGTCCTAGAGCATCAGTTGGTTTCAAGTTATTTTCCTTTTCTAATACTATGTAGAAGCTTTTATTCTGAAACAGCATCGAATATGGGGATTAGCTACTGCCTAGCCTCAGTTAAACTATTTATGACTGATTTACAAAGACTTATTCAAAAACTGTTTCTTATTGCTCTAAACAATATTTTATATTGCCTTATGAATCATCTGCTTTTTACCCCATGCTTGATGATTTAACTAACCTAAATTTAAATCCGTATTTCACTCAGCAGATAGTCTCAGATAGAAGTTTAACTGTTTCAGCGGTCCTAAGTCACGAAAAATTGTTTTGTGGATGTTATCGTTCAACTTTACAACTAATGAGATTATTCGAAATCCAGAAATACTGTACATCGTAATGTCTATCGATCAACAGGCAAATATAGCAGCTGTTTTTAAAACATTTTCGATGTTGATCTATTCTAAAGCGTAAATGCACTTTTTAGAAATCCCAGTTAAGCACTGTAAATTTGTTCTCTATCAGTCTATTCTGTGCTCTTATTTCACGAACCTGTGAAATTAGGATCTCTTTCCCGAAGATCTCAATTTTATGCTGTGCCAGAGTCGAAACACCACTTATCAACTAGATCCTAATTATCACCCGTCCCTCTGATACTTTGCTGAGTTCAATTAAGGTAAATAATATTAATTCTAATTCTAAATATGTATCACTAAGAGAAACGATGTATGCGATTTTATTAGTTTTTATACATTGTAACCACCATGTTGTATAGTTGTTAAACCTTACTGTTTATCTTGTCCTTTTTATTTTTAGGATGAAGAGGAAAAATGTGGTCCATGTAGGTAATGAATATTTATATGTATATTTTATCATTAATATGAAACCAACTATGTAAGTGGCTATAGTATAATCCATGCTTTTGGAAGATATATTGGTGCACTTGTAAATGAAAGTTTCGCTTATATTCCAAGGATTGCACAACTCGACTTTCACTGTAGTTCCATTCTGCAGACCCGACAATCAGTGTAGCTCCGATTTAATATTCTAAGTACCATTTTTAAATGCTAGGTTTCTGATGTAAATCTCACTCAATTTATTTCTAGTAGTCTCTTGACCTCTACGTGGCATAAATATGCATTATTTTAACTTTGATCACACATCAATCATCAGTACAGAGCAGAAAGACATCAAAATTTCGACGAATGAAATAAAGGTACTAACAGCAGTGGGAAACTTCAAGAAGAAAAACGGAAGACCTAAGTAAGTCTAGCGGTTAAGATTCCTGGCTCTCAGCCAGGCGGCCCGGTGTTCAACTCCCGGCGCGTCACAATTTTGCCCCCAAATGCCCTGATACGGCCTAGAGTGGGGAGAGTCATCCCTCTCTCTCGAAATGCTCTCACGTGGTCACGTGCATACAACCACTACCTCGTGGCGGGAGTGTTGTTTACGAAATTGAGAGGACGAAAAGAGAATGTCCAGCGTTTTAACTGGGTCGGTGGACACGGAGGGTTCACCTAGAGGAGTTGGAAAACCCTGATTGCAAATCAGTGGTGCACATGGGCTCCAGTATCGTGAGGGAACAAATGGCGTATGAACCAACCGTTGGTCACCGGCTACCATGGGATTGCATCTCCTTATGTTGCTCTACTGCCTTGTGGATTAGACCTTTAGGTCGACGGCTCCGGGTGTGGCCACTAAGGAAACCACCTGCTTCGGTTTGGGCAAACGGGTAGTATCCAGCCCTCACACAAATCGAATGATTTGTGTGGCGAATATCTATTTGGTGCATCCTTATACCAATGTTTATGTCTTTAAATAAATAATAAGTAAATATAGCAAATAAGATGGATAAAATATTACAGTATTCAATTTTTATAGAAAGATAATAATCAGACTGATCTATACTACTATAATCGGTTTTCGGATGATAACATTTAGGGTCTTTGGCAGTTGATTACAATTATCTCATATATAGATCTTATTGTGAAATAAGCTGACATATGTCTACAATCAATAGTAGGTAATTGTATCTTCTCAATAGTTCTCTCTGTAGTTAATATTATTTCTTGTATTTCAATATGCATAAAAATACTTTCATTATATGTGCATACGTATTTTGAAAAGTGGGATAATATTGTTAATTTATGTACGAATACTTTTATATATTTTAATGAACTATGTATTTCTCCTTATATCTGGTACTATTGTGTTTAAAAGTCAGCACGTAAATGGGTGTATGTTGTGAATGCATCTGAACGACTTGTTTTGGGGACATCTTTTTGATTAGTCAGTAAATCTCTACGTGCCTCAATCTTTTGTGTTCTTGCTTGTGGCATAGAAATTACAATGGTTCTGGTTTCCGAATACGTGCAGTAGGATTGCGGATTCAACAAAGGCGATATGGACCTAACATTTAACCTATTTAATAATACCTGATTACTTATAAATCTAGAATTTTCCAGCAGATATAAAATATAGCAAGTAAATCGACTGCAAATTCTTGTTATGAATCGTTATCAGAAAGGCAATTGATATAACGAGATCTGTATCTCGTTATTTAGTGTTCCGTAAGCAGTGACTAATAGATGTATTCAGTGTTTCATGTATCAACTCGCTTGTAAACTGTCAAAATAGATGCCACCTTTACTTCATTTATTCATTACTGCAATTTTAATTTGGTGCCTAGTCAGTGTATTCTGTGATTGGTTAGCTTGTGAAGACAGACCCAATCTGATACACTGTATAAGTGAATAAATTATGTTGTAGGAACCACTTCTGCTTACTTCATACTTTCTGTCTTAATATACTCTTGTTGTTACGTAGTTCTAGTTACTTAAATGGTCAAATGGGTATGACCGATAGCACACGACTTGGTCAAAGCCCTAGTCCTATAAAAACAAAAAAGTATTTCAATTTTGATTAATAAATCAAAAAAATCTTTGTAAAACTAGTGAAGTATGATATAATGTTGATCTCATTCATTAAGGACTACTTAATAATAAATTAAAACATCCAATAGTATCGAATACTAAAACTAAGGCACGCGAAGAAATTTGTGGATCTCAGTTAAATCCATAAAATACAAGGTAATAATATGTTTCAAAATAAATAGTGAATGTTTGTAATGTTCAAATGAATTGTAGATAAATTGGGTAGGAGTAAACGTTCAGTACCTGCTTCACTTTGGATTAATGATATAAACATACTCAATAAAGTTAGTGGTTATTGTAAGAATGTGTTCGAAATGATTACCAGCCACAAGCGTATTACACCACATGTAACATCAAACTTTCCTATTTCTCCCTAATGGCTAAAACTTGACCACCAATCTCCATGATTTCCCTCTCTCTTACAGCCACACCACATTACAAAAATCCTTGTGTTCTTAAAAGTCGCCAACTTCGTCACCGATCTCATCAGTTTTCTAAGAATCTCCGGAAGACAACCAGACTGTCTACATTATACAGGTCCCAAGTTACCCCTAACTATGTAAGTGATCTGTTTCTTTGCATTTGATATATCCAACATCTTTATGTTTTATTGAAAGCCAGCTATATTTCTACAAAACAATTTTATACGATAATCGAATAGAAAACATGCCTAAGTAGTTGATTTGATGTATTTTGAAATACAACTTTATGAACAAGTTTAGAACCTCGTTTATAGTTATAGAACAATTGATTTACAGTCCTATTATGCAATGTCCTATCACTGGTTAAGTAAAAATGAAGTGTATACTATATATATCTATGAGGCAAATTATCACACTTCAAATTAACATCATAATAGCCTAAAATTTTTGCCAAATCAATGCACTCATACATAGTGGATAAAAGCAGAATTATTGTTACTGTGTGTTATACACGGATGAAAGGACCGTCCAGTACTTCCAGGTTTTCAGTCGTTCATGATTTCAATGAAATTCAATAATCTCCATAACCCCATACTGTAAATTTTATTATCTGTTTCTCATCTTTTTAATCAGTGTGTAATAATAAATAGTTTTTTTGTTATATCCCAATGAGTGAAAAATTGTATTTCCGATGTCTCATGACTGTATGTAAGCCACTTCCTCGGAGTAAATAAATAACCGAAGAAGTGGCTCATATTAAGTCACGAAACATTAGAAATGCAATTCTCCACTTGCTGGGATATAACAATAAAATGTATTTATTATTAACTTTCTACCTAATGCTCGGTGTATTTGAAACTACAAAGTCCAACCTTGGGATTAATACTTACAGTATGTAAGTCCTTCAACTACTTTTTTTCCTCAAAATATCCTCAAAGTCAATACCGCTGACAGTACATGTATTAATCTTTAAATGTCAAGACGAAATCCATACATTTCTCTTTCGTCTTATCATAAACACATTTTGTGGATAAAATGGTCAAATGTTCTTCAAACTTTTGTTCATCAAAATATGTAAATAGTTTTCCTTTTCTTCTTATTCCTTAAACAGTATTTCTTTTTTCCTTCCCTACTTATATTATTCACTAGAAATGGAAATTGCGGTCAACAGAAGATTCTGTTGGAATTCGATTAGTTTCTTCACTTGATTTCGATAGAGATCCAGAAGCGAAACTATCACAGACTCCACATTGGGTTTATACTTATGCATCAAGATATGAAAAGTGAGCTTTCCCTACTCATTCTTCTTTTCTAGTTTATGATAATTCACAGGAATTTCTTTGTCCGTTTGTTTTTCGTGATCTATCACATTTGCTATTATTTCAAATGAAAATCTCACTTCATATAATAATTACATTACTGTGTCATATATTGGTGATAGTCGTTTAGATAAATATGTCAGCATTTTATGCTGTTATTTAAACAGTGCTGCTGTAGTGAACAAGAACACCAGTGGGGACAATCAAATGTATTTGACTCAAAATTACAGGACTTGTTAATAAAATCTAACAATCAAATAGTAAATACGTAATTTGAAAATGTCCATCAGTTCTCTCATAATGACTCAGACTTCATTGTTCTTGCACTTTCATACAAGTCGCATTCTGTTTCCATTCTTTACTGTTCGATCCCTTTGTCTTTCTGCTGCCAGACCTTCTGTTCACGAGTAACGTCATATACTACTTATGTCAGTATAAGTAGCACACACCACACTGCCATCAATCTTAATTTCATCAGTTATATATTTTGTCATGTATATTTATCATTGTTTGGGAAGAAGGTCCTGTTTACTCAGATGCTAACCATTAATTAATGTAATAACTGTCAGATGACAACATGGAAAAAGTTACTTCAATACTAAATCTCACTTGTAGTACTGTATCAGTAGCTGTGTAAACAGAAATATCGTACCAGGTACTATCTAGCGTCTAGCTATGTATCACAATATTGCAAGAGTTCAGCAATTACTTGAATAAGTTGGTGGTTGTATTTGGGATATAAAATTATCCTAAGTGCTATGCTAGTAATTTGCATTTCCTTGTTAGTCACACCACTTGAAAGTCCCCCCAAAGGGCAATTACTTGCAACCAGTTATACATAACCTTCTTGTGAATAATATCGGTTTCGTTAGCTGCGTGCTTTCCAAAATTTTCTACCGTTGTTTAAAATCCATGGTCGACATTTTCGCATGTTCATATCTAGTTAACATTAATAAAATGACTTCAATCAAATAGATTTTATTGGTCAAGGAAAATGAATCAAAAATCTAGTTTTTATAAACCATTTAAAATTGAAGTTGCTAACATCGAACCCTCTTGCTTTAAGTGAGCAGCGAACATTTTCATACAACATGCGTTTTTTTTTAATAAGTTTTATGGAAATTAATCTGAAAGCCTCCTTTATCTAAAAGTAGATATTTCGATAATTTCTAATAGTAACTTTCTACTTTTAAATTTTCTATTTTAGAAGTGAAATGAAATCTCATTTGTTACTTGGAGATGTCTTACGAATTTTATATCTATTACTAGTAAATCGTAGAAATCAATTAGTTTTAAGAAATGTTTTAAAACACTGTCGACATTATTGTCGTAGAATACCTTCAGGTGATATTCATATTTATACATCAACTGGTTTATCACCGTTAAGATCGATTTCTTTACCACACTATTCATGCACCATTTCAAAATCTACTCCACTATTTATTGTACACTGGTATTCTGATAATATTTTAAAAGAAATATTAACTGTTACGTATAGTTGTTTGCCATTACATGAAACTTGGTACGATTGTTGTCCAAAAATGTTACTGCATACATTATCATATTTAATTTTTAAACCAGATGCAAAAAAGCGTATTTTAAGCTTTGCAAAAGCCTTCTCTATTAAACCTGGACAAACGCCAAGTGCGTTTTCATTGTTGCCAATAATGCGAACAAACGAGAACGATTCTACGAAATGTTCATCACTTGATAACCTACATGGTGGCCATCATGATTTGGAATTGTATACAAAGTTATCTAATTGTCTTCCAAAATCACTTACAACTATATTGAAAACGAATTTCGGTTTGCCCGTTTATCATATTGCAGGATTTGGACTGCTTATTAATTCTTTTCATAACACTTGCATTCATGTTTTCACTGATACCAAGCCAAGTGTGCATTATAATTTGAATGTCCCATTGAATGAACAGTTATCCGTTAATTTGTTCATTATCATGCAACATTTACATCAAGCTGTATCTGTTTGTTTGTGCAGACTACGTGATTCTTATGCATCGCTTATGTCAGCTGGTGCCTGTCTAAGAGCAAGATATGAACTTTCAAAAACTCACTGTAACGATACTCAGCAACTGTCTTATTTACGTATTGCTCGAGGTCGCGCACGTCTTTTCGAATCAGAAGCCGTTGCTCGAGATAATATTGGTCGCATATTTAATGAAGAGGTTAACCCTCATATTCTTAATCTAATAAACCTATTGGAACGTATATACCATAGTTTACGTCACTTAACTGGAAATACTTTCTTATTTGGTCCATTTTGCAATCAGAATATTATGTCTTGCAATGACGGAAACTTGACTTTACTAAACTCCAAACAATGGGTTGTCGAGTCGCTCAAATATGTGAAAAAATTAGTTCATTTGTCAAATGTAATACCAAAGTTTAACTTTTCTCTCTTTATTGAAACATCTTTTCATCTATTAGAATATCTAACTATTGATGTAACTAGACATCTTCATTTAGTTATGGAAAAAGTGTTATCTTTCAAGAATCAACTATCGCAGACCTATACATCCATTACTAATTCTTGGATTCCAGCTTACAAAGGTTTATCCACTGAAGTTAATTCACGTGCTGATATTGACTTGAAGTATTTCTTTTCGTCACTGCAAAGCCAGTATGATGTAATTGAGGTTTGGACTCGACGTCAGCATGAAACAGAATTAAGATCTATTGGTAACGAAATGATAAACCTTCTCAAGATACTTGCTAAATGCTGGAATTGTCAGTGGCTATATAGAAATTTGAAGTTACCATGTCCTGTTTTAAGTATTCCATATGGTTCCAAAAATAATTCATCTCATTTATTTCTGAAAGAACCTGGCATAATTTCGTTATCGTCTTGGCCACCAGTTCATCCCAGTTTTATTCTTACTCAACATATAGTCCAAACAAACTCACAGGAACACACCAATCAGAACGTTAGTTCTCTCAGCAATGATACACAGGAGTTTGTCTACTCAAAACTGACATTTTCGCAAGATACTTCGACTAGAATATCCAGTTCTAACCTAAAAACAGAATTACCTTCCATCGTTAATAATAAAAGCCATAAGGCTGGTGCATGTCATTTTTCACCGAGCAATAATTTTGTTTGTGAAACGCTGTCTAGTGAGCAGGTTAGTGTTACTTCAGATTTAAGTGTTAAATCTCCTGTACCGCAAACTGTCAGTTATCATTTTCATAGCTGTCCACCTGATATAAATATTTTCACCCCTTCTGACCAATTTCTTCCAGTTGATAGCACGACAAATACATCCACGTTTGCATCATCAGATCTTCGCAGTCATCGAACTACTGGAAAATTATCAACTACTAAAAATTTCCTTACTCAGCCGACTTTAAAAAACAACTCGAATTTGCTGAACTCAGATATTAGAGAAACTAACTACCATGATTCATCTTTTGTTAGTGTAAATAATCCTTTAGTTACTGACGTCAGTAACAGTAGGCTGGAGTTTGATTTAACAGACACCAATAAAAAATCGTCTAAAGAAGCAACACTGGTGGAATCATGTGTTCAAAATTTGTGTGAACCTTGCCAGAATCACCCTACATCCATTTTGAGTGACAATGAATCAAAAAAAGATGCATATTCAGTTGATACACAATATTGTAATGCTCATAGTGAGACTAATGTTAATCAAGAGTATCAGATTACAGATGATATTTCACCACCTGTCGAGTGCTTACTCACAGTCTCTCAAGATAATGACCCATTATTTCAGAACAATGTACGAATATCATATACACCAACTTTCAAGAACTTGATAGCATGCGATACCAATCAAATCGAGAACGGCTATTCAGAACAGTCTTCAGTTGTAGTAAATCATCCGATCATATCTCCAAATGTTGCAAATACAGTCATTTCAAACTCATCAACCTTATCGAACTCACTACAAAAGACTTGTAATGGACATGCTAAAATACCCCCACATACATCTCCATCCATTTGTGATAAAGATATCATCACTGAAAATAGAGTTTTTCCTACTATTTCTCCCAAGAATGCTGATATTGAGAACTTAAAGTCCAAATTTTCTCAGCCCCCACGAGATGTTCACGATCGGAATGGTTCGCTAGATGAAAGTGTTCCCATCTCAGGTTCGAAGTCTGATCTACCCATTTCCTCAAGCTCATACGACCCAGTCTCCACAAATTCCAAAACTTGTGATCATCACGCAATGAATCCCTTTTCGGGAGATGCTTTTGCTAAATCACAAAGATGTTCATGTCCTCCTCTAGAAGAAAATAAGGCTAGTAATAATTTCAGTTTCGTTAATAATAAAACGAGTGAACTAGTAGGATCTACTGACATGTGTAAAAAGCAGTCGAAAGAAAAATCTGTTAAAAAAGTGTGTATTTACCTACCGGATAATGCTATTACTAATTCTCCTACTAAAGACATTGTGTCTCATTGTAATAGTGAAGAAAATCATGAAGTATCCGACGAACCAGATAATTGTATAATATCCCTTGACAGACGACGAGCTGGGAAGCTTAAACGAAGGTTAAAAAAAATTAACCACTCGACATTCGAAATACAAACATCCACTACTTCCTCCGATACCTCAGACACTTCTCAAATCATTCTTGTAAATAACAGCGAAAGAGCTTCCAAAGATATACAAGCAATGAATAATATATGTTACAAGCCGATCACTAACAGTATTTCGTTTGAGGGAACTCTGCTCAATTCATATAATTTAACTAACATCGATGAAACCCACTCAGTAAATAACATCAAACCTGTTACTCCTTGGCCAAAAGAGAAATCTTTGCATCCGCAAGCTCCTGGTCCAGTCACAGCCGCTATATTAGGCCAGTCTGTTCCCGTATTATCTTCTGATATTTCAATTGATCTGACTGTTGATGATTAAAATAGGCTTAGTTTTAACATTAAATAGCATCTAAACTAAGTTCCGATCAGAACATCCACTACTTACAAAAATTTGTGTATAATCTTGTACATATTTATTGCTCTCCAATTCTATACCAAGATTCATTTTGTGCATTTCACTGAATTTTACTCTGCGTCAACTATTTTTATAGCTTCATTTTATGATACATTTATTTAATTTTACAGGGTTTTAATTATGTAACGAATTCCTTGTGGCATAATTTTTTGTCAATTTTACCAATAAAATAGTCCATTTTCTTGAGTGTGTTGCCTCATCCCTGGGTTTTCATGCTCTGAAACCGATCGCAAATAACTTAAGACATGGATATGTACCGGCTCGTTACCACATTGGATTATCTGAGAAATTCAACAAAGAGGAGTCAGAATGAAAATAGAAGTGGACAAACTAAACTGGATAAGTATTTGAAATATATGAATTAATTCATTAATATAAACTACGTAATAATGCTAAACTCAAGAGTAAGACGAATGAGAACTGCAACTAATTTATTGCTTTATCATCAATACTTTGAACAGTTATCTGTTAAGCCTGAATGAGGAGGTGTAGACCTCCCCACACATATCCTAGTTCAAAAGTTAGTGACTCTGTGGACTGATACCATATCTGGCCGCCGCTAATCCCTTCGTTCCTTCTGTACTGACGACCATTACATGTTGCGTAAGGCACACGTACCGTGGCTTTTCGTCGCACTTACTGTTATTGCTTCTGTGCTCATTTTGTTGATTTTTCTATCCAGCTTTCCTAGTGCTATGGCAACTTGGGTCCTAACAGTAATTAACCACCAGAAAACATTAGTCAAGATGGAACCAAAAATACAGACCTCCATTTTACTGACCTTGTACTCTAATATATACGTGGCAAGATTTCAGTCCCTGAGTATTGTTCCCTAGTGTCTTTAACATACGTCCTAAAGAAGGAAGCGAACAAATATTCACTATTATAAACAGATTATACGGTTTCGCAAAACTCCTGAGTTAGATAACAAACATAGCCGATCCTTGGTGTCAATACTCCAGTTATTGATGATACTTTATGGAATTGGAGTTAAATGACTTGCAAGTTTTGAACATATTTCCAAATTTATTTTGGTTGCAAATTTTTCCGTGGTACCGTATTATTCTTATTGATTTGCGAAATCTTGCCCTCTAAGAATTCTGGCTGAGATTGAGACGACTGCGGCTTTTTTCCTTCCAACTGGATTTTGAAGATATAACCATAGATATAAAAAAAGATAGTAATTGTTTTAAGTACTATCGAAATATGTCCTCAGTATATTGATTTGTATATTTTTTCTAATATATAGAGACAAAGTATGCTGAGAAACAAACTATCTATTATTGTAATCAAGTTTGGAATTCGATGTAGACTAGTGATAGGATAATTATTAGAGTTTATTGTCATTACACGGGTATAATCACCGCACAAATTATCATCTCATATCCATTTCAAAATAGTCCTAACCGGCTATGCCACTTTTAAAATTAACATTATGGGACGACAGGTTTAAGGTGTGGAGGGATCTCCATTGTGTGGTTTAGTGCGAATTATAAATTTGAACGTTGTTTCTATGTTGTTCCAAGATTCTTGATACCGCACCCTAAACGAATGCTATTAGTCCAGTCCAATTCATATTTATCCCCAAAACCTCCTATAATTGCTAAACTTTCAGAATCAATATCGTCTGCAACTAACAATCTGCGGAGATGTTTGTGCCGTATAACACCATGATTGCTTGCTTGTGAGATATATAGCAAAGTGATATGAAATTGTTTGATAAGTATTCCACACACATCTTGTTTAAAATTATATCCCAGTTACTGGGCAAATCCTCTTACTATTCTGACGGACGACATTCCGCAGTTTGACGGTGGTATAGTTTTAGAAATATTTACTGCATGCGTTGGGTATTGACTTGATGGACAGAGGTTCAATAAATCATCTTTCAGCTATTGGTTTATCGCAACGGAATTTTCTTCAAAACCATAATATTCATTTTTCACAAAACCACTCATCTCAATAAGATTGAATATCGTGAAATTGGTTAAATCTGACACGATATGGTAGTTATCATGCTAAAGCATGCAGTCAGATCAAACACTTGACTGGTATAAATACGGAATAAGCCACTACTTGTTAATTGGGAGCTAAGTTCACACTCACCGAAAGCATTTTATTTTCTTCATTGAAGACCCCATGAGAGCTTTCTACTTATTATCTTATAGTGAGCTTCCAGATTTCTGTAGTACAAATTGTGCTAAACAAACAGTGACATCGATATATAAGTGTGCATCGGAAGCATAACGAACATAATTAACCAGAGCTTTGGAAGAAATCGGTAGTTGATAATCAACAATGTTCTAATGTAAAATATCGTTTAGTAGTCTCCGATATCAGGAAAACCTCATAATTACCAGACAGCGCCTGATTTTTCTTTAGTTAAACGTTAGTTGTTGTTACTACTTTTATCTTGTATTTAGGTTAAAACCAGGACAAACAGTAGATAGCTTTGGAATTTGCATTATACAACTATACGTTACCTGGGATTTCGTTTTGTAAAATCACTCCCCATTTTAGGCTCACTAGTTTTTGAGGGTAATAAAAAAAAGAAGCATTAAAAAGTCTTTCGTCTCAATGATAAAACAAACTTAAAAAGTAGGATAATTAAGGAGAACACAGTCTAGAAACTGTACACCAGTTAAATATTTTTAGACATGAGGCCTAGTGAGAGGTCCTGAGTCTGTTTCGTGCTAGACAACAATCATCACTGAGGCACATTTGCAACCTTGATGTATCTGATTATCCTCAGGGTATTGAAATCTATCACAGTAATTTACACTGCTGCTGAGTTACTCGGGTCACAATTGGAATCCCGTATGTTTGTTGGGAGCAAACTCAGTGTAGACTCGCCTATCTATTTAGCAAATAACATCTAATTCTTAAACTTGTATGCACTGAATCGAATTTGCGTTAAAGTAGTGTATTTAAAAGTCACGTAAAAAATGCAGGTCAAAGTGCAATGTATTGACTGGTGAGTAGCTAATAGCTAATATAACACTTGCCTAACAGACTATCAACCGATTCAGGTTTTGCAAATAATCACTCTATCTTAAATGATAGAGGAAATTCTTACCAATTCATGAATGATAAAAGTTTTCTTGCTAGACTATTTAGCTGTTCTGATGTTACTGCTAATAATACAATTATATCCTATCTCAGTGAGATTGATCTAATTAATTAACTCCATATAACTCACTAGCCAAAGAAGAGTTTATGTACTCGGTTTCTAAAAATACTGTCAAAGGCTTAGTTTTGTTATGGAGATGTCTAAACTAGAGGTGTGGTGGGGTCGGACTTGTTGCCTATTGGTTAAAGGCCAAGCCACCACTTAACTTACGAACTAGTATACACCTTGTAACACTAAGTTAATCAAGATAAATACTATGTTATACAGATGCGTTTACAGTCAACCTGTTAACCTGTGCAAATCATGATCCGCAACTACCTATCAAAGATATGTGAGCGACTGAATTGATAGCTGAATAATATCGAACTCTCAGCCGAAGTCCGAGGTATTGATTTCGATCCCATAACTTAAGACTTTCCATTTCCGCTAAATATAATGTATATATGATACAATAATACCGTAGCATGAAGACAGGCTTTGCGGTATTACTTTGAAGAATTAAAATCTACACTGAACGCCACTAGGTCAAATTTAGCAATACTTATACAAACTTAAACACATGTGAAAATATAAAACACTAGCAGGAAGTGTTAGTGACCATGATAATCTAAAATAGAATAACATAGGCATTTTTAAGTTCATAAAATTAGAGCACAGACATGTTAGGATATAGTTGTCCTACAAAGTAATACATGTATACAAGGAGAAAGACTTGTTATACTTCATATGCTTACCATATTAAGGAGTTTTCACATGAAAACTATTGATGACAGTTCGGTCCGATTATCTGACAGGGAAATAAGTAAACTAGTACACATTTTTGTACCGCCAGGTATTACACCATGTAAAACGTTGTGACATCATTGAACTGCCTAACGGAAAGTGAGTTGAGGATATCCCGAACTAATGACCCAATAGTTACACAACTGAACTGAAGATTCCAATAGCTAGTGTCTGTTTATTTCTGGAAACTTAACATATAGGTTGAATTAAACTTCTTGGATTAAGACTTTACGGTTAGTTTCTGGCTCGTTTCAAATTGCACTGAGAAATTCTGTGGATGCATGTTGATATTGAAGGCTAGTCAATCAAGGTGCATATCTAACCTAGTTTCATATCCAGGTACTTCATCGTGAACATATCTAATGAACACCTATCAATTTATTGGTAATTGTTCCAACAATTTTTCCTAATGAATAACTCGTTGCATACTAAAACAACCACATGTTTGCAAAATGATATTATGAAAAAAAACCCAGAAGCATTTAAACAAAGTTTTTACGTCCTACTATACAGTCAAGTAGGAAAAATATACTCCTACACTATAATTCCAAGCTTATTGATGTACTAAGTGAAAAAAATCAATATGTTTAGTATATGTTTTGGGTCCTGCTGATGGAAAATGTTGTCAGAACGTAAGTTTGAAACTCTACATAACCTAATCATTGGTGGTTGGTAGAAGAATTGGTTTACATGTTGAGATTTTCGGCTCATTTACTTCTATATATGCATGCCAACTTTCGTTGAAATCTCGAGGTGAATATGACGATTAGATAGATATTTATTAATTTACACAACGTTTAACTTCATGATATTCACAATTCCACCAAAAATCAATATAAAACAAACATGTGCACTTTTTTCGTAGGTCTTCTATTTCTAGCTACATAAACATGTCCGAGCAGCTGGCATGAAGCTTCTCATTACGGTAAACGCGATCGCTTCTCATTACGGTAAACGCGATCGCTTCTCACCAAACCTCGGGACTGGTACGTAATGGCAATAAAACGGTATTTTATATGGTTACAAGCCAGGATTTTGTTTTCTGATATTTGAAAGTAACGGCAGTACAATATAAGTGGTTATAAAAGCTCAAAATCAGTGATTTCATCAGTCAACATGACAACATACTGAAAAAAATATTTAGAAGAACGTAAAAGTGATGAGTACCAAAACGTTAAACTAAAGCATTTGCGAAAATTGTGATATTCTATACAAACAGTTACTATTCATATTTTGTTGGAGGAGCTAATTAAGTACAAATTTAATTGGACCATCTCCGGGTAGTCCAGGAGCAAACCCACCCCAATATCCAGTCGGGCAACTGCGAAAAATGACTCGGTAAAATAGGAACCAACAAGCGACACCGAGTGCGGTACCCAAAAGCTTTGATGGCATAGTATGAAAATAGATTACTGTTGAAAGAAACATAATATCCCAAAGCATAGACAAACAGGCTGTAAACGAAAATATTAGACGAATCACAGATGTTAATCTTCGATAAGCTGAGCGCATTATGTTCAGTTCTTGTTCAGAAACATGACGAATTCCACTTGTATTAGTAGACTGGTTCGGTTCGTTGCTCTTATGTAGCTGTAGAATTTCAGAGAGTTTGTTCCAATGTTGCATACAGCCGAGTTCTTCTATGATCCATAAGTTGGACATGATTAACAGGAAGCAGTGACCCGATATATCAAATCCTAGCCAAACACCTCCAGCTCGATGACATGAAATTCGTTGATTAGGACGGAGTCCATTAGGCAAGGTAACCGATGCTGGATGACAGTGACCAGACCAATCATGAATTAAGTTGATAAGTCCAGTAACAGTATACCAACAGCCAGAGCCAACGACCAAGCGTAAAATATGCCCACGCATGAGCTTAATATTACCAGCCGTATATACAAAGGAAGAAACGATTATAAAGGCTGCAAGGCAACCACATGTCCAAGCCCACCCTACTTTCACGAAATACCTGTTGAACGGATTTTGCTTATTAGAAAAGTAAGTTGGAGGAGCTCTCACAAAGTCGAAGACAAGAGATACGCCGGCAGCTAGGCAAAGATATACTCCAGCTTTAACGGCCGGATTAATAAACATCGGTCGTCGAAGAGTCGAAAACAACAAGAGATCTAAAAAATGCCACGGAGAAGTTGGTCCAGGCACTGACCTTTTAGGAGCTCCTGGCTCACTGGGTGGTAGTGGAGAAGAATGACTGGTGCTGAACTTTTTCATTGCTGCTGGCTTCATTCTAGAAAAGAAACATAAAACTGAAATCCTGCACATGGAAATTAATTTACAGATCAATCACAATATGAATTTCATTGTAACTACAACTAAGATTTAAGACGCCTTACTAAATGATGATCAGAGACAACCAATCCGGAATAAAAACATCTTCATGAGTTTATATGTAACAGTAACCCAACGACATGATAGTATGAGCATCATATACCACATAATATCTTCAGAAGTCTGGTTTAAGGAAGTGAAAAACGAATATGGATAAGGTTGAGCAAAGAGATCTTTCGATGGTTTCATTTTCAAAGCTATATATATATATACATATATATATATATATATATATATATATATATATATATATATATATATATATATAAAATACACAAAAACGATAAGTCGAATACAGCAATACAGATAAATGCGCAAAAATGTCACTCGTATTTGAGGATTTGATCAAAACATGAATCGAGAATGGTATAAAAGGAAGACAAGGGATATTACTTATGTGGCTGAATTGTGCAATATCGCGTGATAAGTTTTGGAAACAATTAAGAACAGCAATAAAAGGGTAAATCTGTATCGTTTAGGAGTTTAACAGTATGGTAGAGAGACAGTAGTTTGTAAAGACTTTAAAATCACGTTTAAAGACAAAATAAGAACCCACGATCCCACACGCGGGAAGCGAACTCAGGACATAAAGGTCCCGCGTGGATGCTCAACCTCCAGATCACTGAGCCAGCATCTAACAGTATCAATGCCTAGCTTCAGCTAATCCATGATACTGCGTGACCATCTTCTATTGTATTTGGTGGGTAACCGCCTCACATTCGACACGGTCCAACTCCACTGGTCAAGGCTTCTTACTACAACTCCAAAATTTACCTCTTGAGCGCGAATGCCCTGTTATGGCCGAGGGTGGGGAGAGTCCACTCTCCTTTATATGGCCACTGTCAGAGAAGTCCTATTCATTCCGTTCTCGAGGAGGGGGTGCCATTTAAGAAATAGAGAGGACGAAAAGCGAATGCTTGGAGCCTTAACCGGGTTGATGTACATGGAGTGTTGGAAAACCCTGATTCCAAACCAATGGTGAACATGGACTCCAGGGTCCTGAGGTAAAAATGGCGTACGAACCTATTGTTGGTCACCGGCTACCATGGGACTGCATCTCCTAAAGTTGTTCCACTGCCTTGTGGATTAGACTTCTACGTCAAAGGCTCAAGGAGTGGTCCCAGAAGGCCCTGGGTTCGATCCCTGCGTGCTGGATAATGGATGCGCATTGCTGAGGACTTCCGTACTAGAACGAAATGGCTGTCTAGTGCTTCCAGGTTTTCAGCCATGGTCTAACAGAGATCTGTTCATGATTTCAATGGAACTCAACAATTTCCACGATCACATACTGAAAAGTCAGAATCAACGAAAGTAACTGAAATCAACGAAGGTTAATTCTATAGTAAGATAAAAATCGAATAAAATAACTAATCTTCACTGGAACTGATAGAAAAAGAAGCTAAAATTTGCTAAAACTGAACGAGCATTTTGACAGCTTGCTTGCCCTTTCGACCTATGTACATCCCATGGATAAAAGATAGTTGCCAATTATGAAATCGGCTGTTCGTTTGGACCTTTTACAGATATAAGCTTACGTAGAACAACTGTTCTCCATGGTTGGAGACCCCAAACCAAATTAATGCGGACCCATTGGTTTTTTATTTCACTATGAATGATGGGGTATTCTTGTTTTAAATTAGACTTTCACTATTTTCAATGACCATGTGTTTTCGAATTTTTGAACTAAATGAAAATTATTTGGGCCAACATATTTATTTATTTGAACATATAAATATTGGTACGAGAGCGCAACAAATATATATGCGCCACACAAAAATAGGGAATTCCAAGAAAAAAGAACAATAACAAACAGATTAGTGTAAGGTAGTGTAATAATAATAATAATAATAATAATAATAATAATAATAATAATAATAATAATAATAATAATAATAATAATAATAATAATAATAATAATAATAATAATAATAATAATAATAAAGGGGAAACGGAAAGGTACAATCAGAAGAAATATTTCAGTTAAGGGAGGCACAACCATTTTTTATGAAGAAAGTAAAAGGTTACAGCAGGATCGCCACTGGCTTCTATTCTGAGCCATATCTGATAACGTCTCTAGCCACTGTGTCGCACCATCTCTAGGACCCCAACCAGAGAGTCGTGAAGGTCCAACAGAAGCCAGCCCTTTGCAGCTTTCTTTCATACCACGACACTATGTCATACACTGACAACCTCTCCACCTTCTCCAGCCAGTACCAGAGTCGGCAAATAATGCGCGACGTGGAATTCTCTGGGACGACCTTCGTAGAACATGTCCAAGCCACCGAAGTCGGTGTTTCAAGATGGTGACACCGATTGCCTTATCATCTCTGTGCCCGAACACACGACGCCGAACCTCTGCATTACTAACATGGTGTCGCCACTGGATGTCAGCAATCCTTCGAAGACAACGATGATCGAACACAGAGAGTCGTCTAACGTCCTCAACTCGGAGAGGCCAGGTTTCACAAGCATAGAGCAAAACTGCTCTCACCGACGCGTTGTAGATCCGACCTTTTACAGCCGGATTAACATCACGAAGGCGCCAAAGGTGGCCCAGATTGGTATAAGCCGCTCTGGCTTTCACTATACGTGCATTGATCTCATCACTCTCACCCCACCAGCACTTATGCAGCTACCTAGATACACGAACTTCTCGACTACTTCTATCTGCTCACCATCCAGGGTGAGTACAGGATTGGAATCCTGCCAGTCCTGTAGAAGTACTTTGCACTTCGAAGGTGCAAAGCACATACCGTACCTACGGACACTGATTGCCAACTGATTAAGTGTGGATTGCATGCCTTGGGCATTATCGCCCAGTAAGACAATATCATCCGCATACTCAAAGTCGAGAAGTCTTTCTCCAGGCAACAGATCCACACCACCATTACTTACATCCATCAGAGCTGTTTCCAGAATGTCATCGATGGTAAAGTTGAAGAGGAATGGTGAGATTGGGCAACCCTGTCTAACCATACTGCTTGAATGGAACAATGAAGAGAGGTGGTTGTATGCCCTCACTCTGCCTGAGGTGTTTGTATATAGGGCTTTTAGGATGTTAATAAACTTCTCAGGTACACCCTTCTTCAATAGTTACCAGATGCAGCTGCTGCTTCCAGCTCATTAGCACGCTCCGACCACCAGGCTTCTCGGTCCTTACGCAAGCTTTGCCTGATTTCATTTGTAAGGAACCAGAAGAAACCCAGTGCTTATAAGCGGGACGTTTCGCGAACCCACAACTGACTGCACCCGCCGTTTTCATGGCGTCATGCAATTGCAGCCAATGTTCATCTTTAATTTTTGGTGGAATGGCAGCCAGCCTAGAAGCTAGCCCAGTTCGATAGTTCATTGCAACAGAAGTTGCAACCAACTTGCTGAAATCAATCCTTTGGTGGCGGTCATCACGTTGGCCACTGAAAAGTAAGGTAAGATTGGCGTAGACTAAGGCGTGATCGGAGTCTAGATAGGTACTCCAAAAGGAGCGGCAGTCTTGTACACAACCACGCCTGCGGTAGCTGATCGCGATGTGATCAATCTGAGTTCAGGCTTGAGATGCAGAGTGAGGACGCCGGGTGGCACATCGGCGATGACTGTGCCGAAAGTTAGTGCTAGCCAGAAACAGGGTGTGGTCTGTGCATAGTTGAAGTAGACGGTCCCCGTTATCTGTCCTGCGACTAACAAGTCCCCATCGGCCACCCAAACGACTCTCTTCTGTGCCTAGACGCCCGACCTGAGCATTCAAGTCTCCGGCTAGTACTACAACATCTGTCGAACGCACTTTCTGGAGAAGAACAGTTGACTGGTGGTAAAATTCATCCTTGATTGCATCCGGGCTGCAATCTGTCGGGGCATAGGCGGAGATGACGAAAAGACATCGTTTCTCAAGTCGATTTCTTCTCACCTTGATGGAACTTTCTAATCTAACAGCCAACATATAACATTCCATGAGACAATTGCGAATGAGCAATCAGGGTTCAAGACACTGGACCTCTGGATGGACTGAGATTGAAGACAATACAACAAACTAGCAAAACAAGGTCTTTCTATAGCAAAAGAACATGTTTATATACAAAAATAACACCACAAAATAAATGGTCGGACGATTCAGATTTCGTAGGCCACTTGCATTCCAATGAATTCAGGATTTGACAAACAAGTTTAATTTTTACTTTGCTATGACAATTATATTTTCTTCATTGCTTCAGTTTATCAGTCCCTTTTGAGGAGAATTTTTAATTTACTCCCAACCTCATGTTTACTGTTTTCACTTTTGCACTGTTCATCGTTTTGATATTTTACTTCTACATAAGGATTGATTACGAGAGCTAAGACAGATATACATGTGCTCTACGTTACAATTGGTTCGTATCTCTCTCGGTCAGTCATCTACAACGTAGGACCAGACACATACATGCATCAGCCCAAGTTGCCACACCTCTTTAGCACAACAAAATAAGCATCAAATTCATAGAAGTAGTCACTTCAATAGTAGTAATATATGAAAGAAAGATCGTGTATAATGACATAGTACAGAAAGAAAGAAACAGTTCATAGAACGAAGAATATAAAGCGATTTTAATCTTATGGTTTAAAGAAAGACAAAGAGTGTATGCATCGACGCCATTGTGATAGATTCTGGACCATATCACCCAGAGTCTCCAACCATTGGTTACGACAGTCATGTGGACTCCAACCAAGCAGTATGCATCTACCAACATGGCTAAGACGAGAAGTTAGCGACTTCAATGACTGATGCCACTTTTTCGTTTGGCTCCTCATAACTTTCTCCAATCTTCCTTCAACACTAGTCAGCATTGCGCTTCGTGGTAATCGATGTTGAGCCATATATAACTCGCCTGGATTATTTTCGGGACGTAGATTATTCTAAAGATTTGACTAGCTTTTTCCAATCTGCCTTCAACACTAGTCAGCCTTGCGCGTCGTGGTAGTCGGTAGTTGGACATGTGCAATACGTCACCCAACCATCTCAGTCGATGTAGATTCACAGCCTCACCAACTAAATTACCATCATTCCCTAGTATCTTCCGTCTAACCTCACTATTACTTATCCAGTGATCCCAGCAGATGCTGGCAATATTTCTAGGACATCTGTGATCAAATACTAGTAACTTATGAGTATCTTCTACTCTTAATGGCCACGTTCCGCAGCCGTGAAGTTCAGGTGTTGACGCAGGTCAGTTCTCAAGCAACGATTTGCAATTAGAAAGGGGGGAAGGGCATCCCTAACATTCTGGCATTGTTGCTCAGTGCTATCAAAAGACTGCATTTTAGAGTCTTCACCAAACAGGATCATATCATCTGCATATTCTAAGTCGATAAGTGGACCTCCTGGTAGGAGATCAATGCCCGGGAATTCAGTCGACGAGAGCGTTATTTCCATCAGTAAGTTTATAATGAAGTTAAACAAAAGTGGAGAAAGTGGACAGCCTTGTCGGACACCACTTGATGTTGCAAAATCAGATGACAGTTCGTCATAAGCTCTGACTCGACTAGTATTGTTCGAGTAAATAGCCTTCACAAGATTTACGTACTTCTGAGGTACACCTTTCGATGACAGACACTGCCATAGAACCTCCCGGTCTACAGAGTCAAATTCTGCTTTTAGGTCAAGAAAGACCACCATTGCCGGACGCCGATAAGCATGCCTATGTTCTAGAACCTGATGAATGGTGAATATGTGGTCGATGCAGCCAGCCTGATTCTCTCGTGTTTGCAGTTCACAAGTCTTTGTTAGGCACCCGATAAATATTGAAGCTAGTATTTTAGATGCTATGTTAGTCAAAATAGTGCCTCTATGGCTACCACAGGATGATTTTGACACCCTATATATCGGAACAATCAGTGATTGCGACCAATCAGATGGGATCACGTCTAACTCACAGATTTTATGAAATATTAGTTAACCTAATCGCCAAAACTAGACCAAAATCCTTAAAGACATATGGAGCCAATCCATTTGGACCAGCTGCCCCTCCTCGTTTCAGATTAGCTATACCTTTTTGAACTTCAGTTATAGTCGGCGGACCTACTTCCATGTTCCATTCACGCTGTCTGGGAATGGTAGGTAGTTGTAGAGTAGCTGAAGGCCAGCTGAACTGCTCCTTAAAATGTTCCGCTCATCGTTCTAAACGTCTAGACTGAGAGAACATAAGAGTGCCATTTTTTCTGTGATTGTCTCACATACACTTAACCCCTTAGTTCCGGTTTATTTTATTAGTCTGATAAGCTGTCTGGTGTTACCTACAGCCGTTGTCTTTTCCATCTCTTTTGCGTTCGTTACCCACCACTGCTCACGACTGTTCCGTAGACTTTTGGTTAACCTAGATCTGATTTGCTTTCGCTCTTCATCGTGTTCAGAGCCTGATGGGATGAGTTTACGAGAATCCATCAGTGCAATAGCCTTAGAAGAAATCCAATGGTTTTTGGTACCCCTTTGGTTAAAATCACTAACAGATATCGCTGCTGTTTCGCAGATTTTTGTATAGCTTTCCAAGCAACATCTGGGTCAGCCTCGTTTTCAGAACTACCTAAGTGTGACCTCAGTTGTTCCTGGAACCTACTTTTGGTTTTCTCGTTACTCAACTCAGTTCTAATTAGTTTTTTTAAAGTGGCTTTTTTGCGTCCAGTTAGGCGCAAGCAGATGCGTGCTCGTATTAGGGCATGGTCGGAGTTCAAGCAGGTACTCCGTAATCAGCAACAATCTTGTACCG